GTCTGACAGCCCTGAATTTCAAAGCTGCCTTTACAGGATTGTTAAACAGTGGAGTTCAGGATTAAACTGGAGATAAAAACTTTAGTTGAAAAGATCAAATCCTGTTAGTCACAGTCAGGTTGGTGTTGTAGCAATCTGCTAACTTCAGATTAAATAAAACACGGCATGTTTTGTTGAATTAAACACTTTCAGAGGTTTAACCAGTCGTCTTTCTGAACCTAATCATATTTTACTGATCATCCCTGAAATTTCAAAATTAGAAATCCCAAGTCTGAACTTTGATAGAAGGTAAAAACAAAACAGCACTGTTCATTAAATAACATTACTGACGTAAAGAAAACATACATATAGTAGATACACTTAATAATGCTATTCAGGAATTACTTTTAACACTTTCCAGTATTTTTAAAAGCAAGTACTTTTTACTTTTACTTAAGTACAAATGTCAGTGTGATACTTTTAATAGAGTATTAATTTGTTTGTTTATTTGTATTTACACATAAGTACCGTTTCTGAGTAATTTTTCCAGCGCTGTCATTCAGTACCTTTTAAACTGCTGATGGGTTTTGCTCCAAGCTTTTCCAGGACTTTGGTCCAGGATCCTCCAGGAACCAGATTGCCTTTGGATGTCAGGAGCACGATGGAGCTGAAAATACAAGACAATAATTAAGCACTAACCAGGAGGAGAAGCTCTTCTGGCTGAGGTGGTCCTGCAGACTCACAGAGATGAACCACAAGAACCAGAACTGGATCTACTCACCCGTCTTTCAGTCCATTGACGTAGGCTTCCAGCTCAGCAGAGTCTTCTTGGAGGACAGACGTCCTGAAGCCTCTGCTCTCCACCAGCTTCCCATCACCTCCATCAACCACAGTCAGGTGGAGTCCATCATCTAGTTGGTACCACTTCCTGCCGTTCACCTGGTGAGACAGCAGAACCATCAGCATCAGTTTTGCTCAGCCTGTTGGGTTACCAACACAATACAAGAAGTTCTAAGGAACCAGAACCAACAATCTTCATGTAAAGTAGAACTTTCCAGAAGACAAATAAGCTTTGACAAAACACTCAGTTGGGATGTGGGATATGAACTGGAAACAGCCAGAACTTTACTGGATCAGAAACACCCATACCCCAGAACTTCCCTGACAGAACCAATAGAACCAGAACCTCTGTAGAACCTTTGAACATGGAGAACTTCTTCTCCTGGACCTTCCACTCAGTCCACAGCGTGTCTCAGAACTGTGAGGATTGAAGACTTGGATGAACTTCATCCACAAGGTCAGTTTGAGACCAAGTTACCTCTGTGAAAGCAAAGTCCTCCTTGGCGTGGAAAAATCCAACGCTGTAGGAAACCAGCTGGACCTCCAGGAAGTGATCCGCTGAATTCTGAGGAGACAGAAGCAAAGGAACAAGGAAGGTAAAAACAGGCCTTCAGGTCGGGTCAGAACCAGTCCACACAGAGAACAGTGAGAGTTGGAAACATGAGGTAGGAACCAGCCCAAGAACTTAGAACATTAATAGATGGTCCTAGGAATGCAGAAAAGACCATGCATTGGACAATAAACCCCATCTTGGCAGTAAAAAAAATAAACCAGTACACCATTATATCAGTAAACCAGTAGTAAACCAGTATTTCACAAAAGTTATAATCAATCGACTGGACTTTGTTTCCAAGTTTGAAGACGTTTCTCTTCCATCCAGGAAGATTTTTAAATTCAAAATGTCAGAAATGGCGTGTAGTTCCAGGTTTTATCCAGCAGCCCAACAAAGCCTGGTTTTAGTTTAGAAAACATGCAAATAGAAGCGGATGAACGGGCCCCCCCCCCCTTTGGAATGGAGGTTGTTTGGCTTCTTTGTTAGCCTTCAATGCCCCATACCTGTCTATGTCTCTGAAAGGGGGGTCGTTAGAGGGAACTGTTGGCCTGGCTGAACAGGCGAGGTGTTTTGGTCCCCTGCATGATGATGAGGATTGAGATGAGATGTGATGATAATGGGAAGGAATATGCTCTATCGCTGCATTGTAGGTTTTCATTGATGACATCACATCCGCCTGCTGGATGGTTACTAGGAGGAGAGATGGTAGCCAAGGAGATGAAAGTTTCTGGCAGTTCTGACGTTCTCCATGGTTATAGCAGGGGGCTCTGCAGCTAAAGCAGCCAGAGCCTCTGAACGGATCGGGTTATGCCATCAATCATTAGTTATTCTCCTCAGTTTGAGTGAAAAACATGGAGACCTGAAGACTCACGTTGATGACGTGATCATTAACTTGATTTATTTCTGACTTCCTGTCTGTCCATGGGTTAGTGAGTGGAAGCTGGTCGGGGCTGAAGAGTTTATTTAGTCTGGGTTTTTCTAAAGCACCAGGAGGAGCTGAGCTGGGATTCAGTTGGATCCACCAAACATCAGAATATCTGCCTAGAAACAGAGAAGATAGATAGGAAGTCTGGATCCTGTGATTATGCAGATAACGGAAAACCTCAGGCTCTGAGGCTGCGGCTAACCTGTTCCTGTTTATGATGGCAGCTTTAATTCACCCATTAGAAGAATAAATGATTTAGGACCTCATGATGATAGATTTAATGAGGATAGAAGTAGAAATCTATTATCTATTATGTTTGGAAACAGTAAAGGGAAACTTCTCATGTTCTTCATCAGCTGATGTTGGTTGCTTTACATCCCTGGAGGCAAATGATGAGGAATGATTGGATGGCTGATGAGATTCTGTTAACCAATAGAAAACTCAGCAGTGATGAAGGTAATAATGGTGATGATGATGATGATGATCAAACATTTTTATACAAATGACCTGGTGAAATATGAATGGAATTTGATTTAATTTGTCTTCAGCCACAAGGGGGGAGTGTGAGCATGTTTTTATAGTCTGAAGGTCAGAGGTCAGACTTCCCCCTGCACGTTGTCATGGTGACTGGTCTGATCACTGTTTGTGAAACGGACCTCTAATGTGTCTGATGGACAGGGATGGGAATCAAAAACCGCTTCCAATTCCATGGAACCGCTTGGCAGCTCGCTTTATGATTCTCTTATCGATTCCAGGAAGCACCAGAGCCTAGTGCCGGGCAGCACGAGAAGTTACGCACACGGCATTCAGTAAGCAAGAACCATGTGACCTGGCATGAATCTAGAAAAGCAATACAGAAAAAAATGGCGTCCCATCGGGTAAGGCGTTCAAACGTTTGGATGTAAAGTGGCAATAACATCCGCGGAAGGAAATACTTCCAACATGCAGAAACACCTGCGCACACAACATGGCGTAGATTTTAACGAATGCCGTGTTTTTGATGCTTCCAGACAGAAGCTAAAGTTACGACTAGCATGGAAGGAAACTCTGGTGGGAAGCAGCTAGTTTTATATCACTGGCTGAGCTTAATGTGGTTCCTAGTAAATCAGATGCCATTTCTGGAAATGAACCAGTTTCCTGCCTCTCTTTGGAGGCTACGAAAAATGCTACGAAGTTGCTCCGCAGTTCAGGGAGCGAGAGAAAGGTGACGCTTGTTTATTTAAATCAGGGGGAGATGAGTTTATTTCCAGAAATTGTACAGTAATGCTTTTTCATTAAACGGATTCCTTCTCCATTAGATTTAGACGACTGTGAGGAGACGGGCAGAGACGGATCTAGAAAAATATTTATGGGGTGGCGAGAGGGGGCAGGAATTTTTGAGGGGTGGCAACATGTGGCATTTGTTTACACTGAATTTAACCACAGTTATCACAGTTTGGTGAGAATAGTATGTAGCGTAAGTGTTTCATGTGAAACAGTTCATATTAGAAATACATCACACAATGTGATCTCACTTAATAGGTAACACTACTTCTAGAGGGGCATTATCACAGGAAAGGTATTATGGTAAGACACAGGCGTTGAGTCGCAGATGTGTGAGATTGACTGTCAGAGAACAAACTATAAAAAAGAAAAAGTTACCCATCAGAGATCTATGGACTGAGCTGTACTAAAGTGAGCAGAACTACACAGTAGAAATAAATGGGTTAAGGCACCCAAACAAGGTACCAGACATCTATGTATTGTTTACTCTGAACACACATTTACCCCTTTTGTTCCTCAGTAACTTATCATACAGCAGTTAAGGCAACATGAAAGGGACATTTCATGCATGTAAATATGCTGTAGATAGAGCTGCTGTATCAACAAATCAACAAAAAGGCAGGTATTGTATGTTACATCAAAATCTCCACAAATCTGAAAAGAAGCAACAAAAAAATTTATTTTGCTTCCAGTCTGAAAAAGTACAAACATTTTGTGATTAGGTTCATACAGGTAAATTCTGGATAGTTTCATACTATATATACAAAAAAAAAAGAAACAACAACACTGCTTCATATTAAGCAGGATTTAAGCAGGATTTCACATTTTTAACTTTACTTTTAACACTTTTGGTTTTATTAAAGGAAATATTAGCCTCATGAGACCATCCTGATCTCGCAAGGTTTCAAGGTTTCACTCGCAGATCAGTCTGGAGACTCTCCGTTAAAGAAAATTTGGAGCCGTTCACCAAACGAACGTCCAATCAGCGTTGGCTTTGAGGCGGGTTGAGGTGTGACGCAACGAGAAGCTCGACAGTTCAGTCTAAAGAACATGGCGGCTTCAGCCGATGAAACTAGCGTTAGCGTGGCTATCGAGCAAGTTTTATCGGAATTACAGAGTATTTCTTCACTGAAAGAAGAGCAAAACACTGCTCTGGAGGCTTTTCTCAGAGGAAAAGATGTTTTTGCTCTTCTCCCGACTGGTTTCGGCAAGAGTTTGATCTATCAATTGGCTCCTCTTCGTCGTCGCTCTGTTAGTACGTCATATGCTTCGTTGATCTGATTGGTTTATTTGGCCCGTCTATCACCAACATAGGCCAATCAGCTAACCAGTATTTTCGCCCCTTCCCAAAATTACTTCAACTGAAGGTTTCCAGATGGATATGCGGAGCAAATCCAGCAAATCCATCTGGAAGAGTCAGGTTAAGGAAATATCAGATTTTCTCTGGTGCCAAAACTGAATGTAACATCTCTGTAAAGGCTCACCAGAAATCATAACATAAAGTTGACATGACTATAGCAGCTGAATGCGGCGATTTCCATGTTGCTCAGCAAAACGCTTCACAAATGTATTTAGATCCAATGCCTTTGTGCGTTTTGATTTGAGTTAAACCAAACTTTACAGTCTCTTTTCTGTCAAAGTTGACCGCAAATATGTCTTTATGAGCCTTAGGCCTAACTAACAACATAGAGAAATAACGTTCTGCAACCTGATTTTTATCATCTCAAAATCAGCATTGCAGCTATGCTAGCAACATTGTGCTTTCATTATAATTTAATTTCTCAATAGATAGTTGATCAGCTTTTACCTGTTTCATCCCGTGTCTCCTCTCCTTATCACCCCTGGCTCCCTCGCTTTGCCCCATTCGGTTTTTCAAAACTAATCAGTCTCAGGCGCTCTCGCGTCATCTCGTGCTGCATTCACTGCAGTCCGACATTGGAAATTAGCGGTTGTAATTCTCAAATTATCCATAATTTATAAGCCTCGCCACCCCTACAGCCAACTGGGGTGGCAGCAGGGGTGACAAGGCTGTCATTTAGGGTGGCATTTGCCACCCTTTGCCACCCCAGTAGATCCGCCTATGGAGACGGGTAGCCTGGTTGGCTCAGAGACTGCAGCTCCCGTTCACTGCTTTCTGTTTTCACTGAGGCAGGCAGAGATAGAATATCCCAGGCGAAGGTAGATGAATATCAGCGTCCACTTACCAAGTTCATTGTTTCAGAGAATCGGAATCGTGAAATTTTATCAATTCCCAACCCTACTTACAAGGCAGTTATTAAGGTTCTCTCTGTATTTTCTTTTATATCAAACCTGTGACCCCTGAGCAGCGGGAACCGAAGGGTTAATTCTCAGAAATAAAGCTAAAACCACCAAAGTAGAAAGAAGAATGTTTTTGTTCTTTGCTTTTTTGGACTAATGCAGATTTTTATTGATCTGTGTTTAACGCAGAATTCATAGCAGATCAGGAAGTGTTTGCTTTGGGATGGAAACCTTGGATGATAAAATCATTCCTTTATTGGACATTTTGTTAGCTGGTCTGTCTGCTATATTAACCAAGAGGATATGTTGAACTAGATCTGCTATTTTCACAACTTCTCTGAGACACTTTGTTTTAAAGTAAAACTGACTAAAACCTTTTACAGTTTTCGTCAATTAAAAATGACTAAAACATCACATATCTAATAATAGTTTTCGTCATGTTAACTGCTAGCGGTAGCATCAACCAACCCAATGACATCACTGCTTGTAGTGCTGTAACACGCCGCCCTGCCTAAATCAGAATCAGAAATACTTTAATAATCCACGCTCAAGTTATTGTTTTATATAGTATAAACACACACATCCAACTATACAATAAAATAAAGATAAAAAATAAGAATAAAAAGAGATAAAATATATACCCATGTAGCTCTTCTGTATATATATCTGTACGTGTATCTATGCATATGTAAAAACTAAATCCAAAAAAAGTGAAAATCCAAGTAAAGTGATCAAAGATGATCAAATAAAGCTTTGTTTTTTTTCACATTTGTTTTATGAGAACAAGGAACTGGCTGATGAAGACACATGGCTGCCGACAGGAGCAGCAACATGGCTGCCGACAGGAGCAGCAACACGGCTGCCGACAGGAGCAGCAACACGGCTGCCGACAGGAGCAGCAACACGGCTGCTACCAGGAGCAGCAACACGGCTGCTACCAGGAGCAGCAACACGGCTGCTACCAGGAGCAGCAACATGGCTCCCGACCGAAGCAG